GGGTAGAGGGAAAGAAGATAGAAAGAGACAGAAAGGACAGAGGGGGGCTGAAAAGTACAACTGAAGGGATGAATGGTAGAAAAGAAAAGAAGAAGAAAAAAGTGGGGAATGGGTGGGAGGTAAATTTTAAAAGGGGGTGGGTGAAACAGCACCGTGGATTAGAGAAGACAGATTAAGCTCCTGTGTGGAATACACACGGTGAATGGAAGAATTAAAGAACTCAAAGGACGATTTAGGGGGTGAAAACGTGGATCGAGGGAAAAAGGGGGAAAAAACCCCAGAGAGATCCAGAAAACGAGCAGATGACAGGCTGGATTTGGAGCTGAACTGAAGAAGCAACGGAGCAGTCGCTGAAATTTATGGAAGACTGGAACGTTTCAAGCTTCATATTTTCTTTTAGGCAGGGAAAACCCCAGAATAGTGCATTTCCTCAGTTTCGAACAAGGAAAGGATCATACACCATCTAGTGGTCGGAGGGAGACATCAGTTTTCTCTGATGCTAAAACATGTTGAATATTTCTTTATTTGATAATGTTTAAATTAATTAGCTTATTTATTTCTAATCTATAATATTTAACTGTTCATTTTTTTATTTAATTGGAAAACTTTTAGGGCCCGAAATTCAATTCAAAGTGTTTAAAAGGCAACAAGTGATGTGCTTTAAATTCATGTGTTAATCCGTGTCAGCGGTCAGTTTTCCACATTCATTCATGTTTATTCCTCCTTCTGTCTCTCTAATATTTGCAGCCTAGTCCCGTCAGACCAGTCCCCCTACAGCGATGTGTCTTCACTGCGAGCCCCGCTCCTTGACGGTCCTCCCCAGGACTGCCACGCCATGTATAATCCCATGACTCCCAGCATGACTCATGGATCAGGATCAGGACCAGGGCAGGGGAACGGCCACTGCTTGAACCAATATATGAGACCACCTCAGGCCCCACCAGCCCACAGTATGATAAGCCACAGGGGGATGCCGGCCACAGAGGGTGAGCCAGAGTATCTGTTACATCCCCGTTAATCTCAAAGCTGCTGTTGATTAGGACTCAAAGATATCTGACAGAAAATAAGGAACTCCACCGATTTCTACAAAAGATAGGATCTGACCAAGTTTACTATTTCTAAGACCTATAATCTTCTGTTCATGTTGAGTTCACTATTTCATTCATTATTTTAAGAAATACCAAGTTGCAAATATTCTTTTCACTAATTCTCCCAATCTAAGCTATAGGAGACCATAAATCATGTTTGCTTTCCAGCTTTACAGAATAGTGTTACTGTTTCTGACTTTCTCCAATGATCCACAGGCATAGACTTGAATATAAATCACTAGACTGAGCCCCGCCCATACCGTCCACTGGTAGTGTCTGTGACAGCATGGAGGAGCAGAAACAGACCAAACAGGGCAACGGCTCACAGCCTCCATAGAAACTAATAGATAAACAGCAGCTGAACCAGATCTGTTTCACAGATTATCTGTCATGTTTTTACAATAAATTAATAATTATGTTAATTTCATTCAACAATCATGTAAAAAAGCAGATTTATACCAGAAAAATATATAATTTATAATTAATGATCTAAAGCAGACCTGAAGTCAGCCTGTAACTGACTTTAGCTAGTTGAAAAATGATGACTTCAGCTGTAATAAAGTATATTTATTATTTCTTCTTACTGTCATAAAAAAATAATATTTATATTTACCAGTCAACAGTTAGAAAATGTTCTCTGGTTAAAGGATGAAACTTGTCTCTATTAGCTAACATCTTCTTAACAGGTCAGGTTCCTCTAACAGAAACCTAAAAATACTGATATTTATAATATTATTTTACACTCTGTAGGTCTAAATATTAATCAGAGGACAAAGTAATATTTAATAGTTTGTGTTAAACTGTARCATGATTCAACAGWGCTAAACTCTGTATATATGCTCCACAAGCTAATATCTGCTAACAGTTCAATAAATAACAGTGATTACATCAACTTTATAAGATTATTTTAATTTTAAACTGTTACAATATGTTCTGCTCAGATCACATTGAGCTAAATAAGATCAAATCTGCTGACTTGTGTTGTGAAATGAGACTTTTTCCTGTTTATCTTCTGTTAATAAATCCACAACACAAACAGCTTTTCTTACATTATTTAAAACATTGGATAGATTATAAAAACTGTAAAATATTAATAATAATTGGACTAATATTATTAATAATAGTTTTTTGTGATTTCTACATCGTCATTCCTTTTTTTTCTGCTCTGTTGTCAACATGTACAGTAATGGGAAATCCAGACTCTTGACCGTTTTTTATTTATTTATTTTATTTATTTTTTTAAACCACTTCAGTAGAAAGCAGTACTAAATATCTGAATATTAGTATCTTAGCTTCTTCATCATCAGTGTTTTTTTAGATAGACAAGAAAGAAAACAAAAGAAAGGAAAAAAGAAAGAAAGGAAAGAAAAGTTACAATGTAATGGAAAAAAGTGAAAGAAAGAATTGATGAAATGTGAGATATACGTCAAGAAAACAATACAATCCATCCAACATCTGTCTGCACACCTGCAAAGAATTAATGTTACAAAACGTAGCAAAAGCATACATACTGTATATACAGTACATTCAGACAGACAAACAAACACCCACCTACGTATATTTACCTGGTGATCATTCAGAACCCCTCGGATCTGAACACCAGTTGAGAGCAAGAATAAATTTACAGGATTTCTCCAACGAATGTATAATAGTGACTGTGGGGGAGTCTCAGAGCCGACCCCCGAGGCACGAGGCAGACATAAGGGGAGGCCAGAGCCAATGACCCCAGGAGGAACCCCAAGCACCGGGCCCCCAGGTACACCTACGCGAGGAGAGCCGCACACCCACCCCCAGGTCAAACCATAGGGGAGACCCAGGAGATCCCCACCAGCGAACACACACAGCAGCCCCACAACGGCCCGCAGCGATGAGCACGCAGGCCCCCGCCGGCCCCCGCTGCGCTAGGGCAAGCACGGGCATAGGCACAGAGGGCCCGGCCCCCAGAGCGCCCTCCCCCCAAACCGAGAGCCGACAGGGCCAGAGGGCCCAAGGCCCGACAGGCAGCCACCAGGCCGAGCCAGCACACTCCCGAGCACCCAGCCCCAGACCCCAAGAGCGCTGCGGGCAAAGCACCCCCACCAGAGGGTGGTATGGGATGAGGGCGACAAACGAACCAGGGGAGGGGGAAGTCCACATCCCAGCCTGACACATACCCACGCATCCACAAACACAATCATACAGTCCACCCTCATCCTCGCACCCACTCATTCAAAGACATACAATATAGACACCACACTCCATTCACACTTCCGATACACACTCAATAACCCCCAGGTCCAGGGTATGCCCCCGCCCCCCACATAGGGCGGCCCACACCCGAACCCAGGAGGTAAACCCATTTGTCCTGTGGTGGAGAGGAGCAGACGGCCAAGCCCCGGCCTGGACTGCACCGACCCGACCGACTCTTGACCGTTTTGAGCCCTCCAGCTCTTCTATATAACCTCCTTGTCCACAGGTTGCAACAGCGCCCCCTACTGTAACCAGAACATGATGTCGTCTCATCATAACTTCTGCCACGTTCAGCCCGGCTCTGAACACATCGAGCCTGGCGACGGTGAGCCAAGCCGCCGATCAGAAACAAGATGAATCTCGTCACACAAAAAAAAAATCCTCGTATCATATCCTCCTGTGTCTCCTTTAGGCTCGAGGTTCTCCACGCCTCGCTCCACGCTGAAGTTGAGTAAAAAGCGAGCTCTGTCCATCTCACCTTTATCTGACGCCAGCGTGGACCTGCAGACCGTCATTCGGACCTCTCCTAACTCATTAGTGGCCTTCGTCAACTCGCGCTGCAACCCCAACGGCGCCAGCTCCTACGGCCACCTCTCTGTGAGCGCTATGAGGTACGATATTGCTCTAAACAGTGCTCATCAAACTCTAAAATTCTGTTTGATTGTCTCTCTAGATTCCCTTCGAATGAGTAAGATTGGTATGTAAATTAGGTGGAGTAATTTTAAAAACATATTCAGTTTAATTAGTGTTCTTATTTATAGAAATGTGCAAAATTGTTGTATTTCTTTACACTTTGCATCCACAGAGCAGGCTTTATTGTTGTGTTTGGACTGTTTAAGGTTTTAAAGCTCTTTTAGAGACTTTTCTTTGGATTTTATCTGCTTTCTTCTGCTTGTTTTCTGTCCTGATCTTTAGGTTATAATAAAATCAGGTTCATTGGAAGATAAATTAAAAGAAATGAGGGTTGGATCAAAACTTTTTCACAGTTCTGTTCTTAATAAGATGTAATACATTAGAAATTAGTGGACACAAATAATCCAAATCGGAGTTGATTTTGAAAAACTTGGTGTCAAGGTGTGTTTTAAATAGTTTGCCTTAATTAATAAGTTTTTGTTCTTATGGAGTCTTGATGTTATTTTACTCCACAGCCCATCGCTGAGTTATTCCAGCAACATAAACTGCCACCCAAGACCAGGGTCCATGTATGGAGGAAATGGGGGTACACCTCTGGGCGGCCACACACCCGCTCCCTGCCAAGCCTCTCGTTTACCTCCCCACAATCCTCGGCTGCAGGCTCCACCCAAACATGGACACGTAAGAAGGCTCTCTCGCTCGCGTCACAAGTTATTCCAACTAGTTTCTGTGAAGCTTCTGCTTCTAATTGTTGCTTCTCACTAATAAAGTCACTGCTCAGAAACGGGTTGACAAAAAAAAAAGGATGTGATGTTTTGTTTTGCAGCTGAAAACAGAGCCAGGGTTGGGAGGAGTGATGGACGGCATGAACGTGAAGAGCCTGGAGGAGAGGTCAGAGGCAGATGTAGCCAGTCCTTCGTCCACTGGAACTCAGGTGAAACCTTCATAATAACATTTCTAAATTCATTTTAATAAATTTATTTTTATTTTATTTATGAATGGATTCATTTAATTTGTAACAGTTATATATACAACAAAGAACAAAAAAACATGCAATCAAAATAAAATCAAATAAAATGAAAGGCAGCAACAGAAGAATAAATCTTATAATGTCTGCCCTTTTTATACCCAGATTATGTTCAAAATGAAAGTAAATTACAACAAAAATCAAAACAACTGAAAACACACAAAAACAAAACAAAAAAAACCTAAACTTAAAACACCAACTCAAACAACAATTTGCATGGATTCACTTATGCTTCTCCATATTTCTTCATAATACTAGATTTTATTATTCTCTTCAATAAATACAAAGATTTTTAACCTCATCTTCCACAACCTTATTCCCTGGATTAAAGTGGATCGCTCCTTCAGGCTCGTATGGAACCAGGGTTTCACAAACACTTCAGTTCCCTTAAGATAATAACAGCTCTCTGTTTTAACAAAATTTACTTGAATGTTGGAAGGTAACACACCTTTATGAGCTCTGAACATTAACAGCAAAATATTATAATCAACCAAATCATAGAATTTCAATAATTTCAATTAATGAAACAATATATTGGATGGATGGCTGTAATTTTTTTCTAGTAATAATTTTATAGCTCTTTTCTGTAAAATAAAAATAGGTTTTGTGATAGTTTTGCAAACTTTACTCCAGACTTCAATACAGTAAATTAAATGTGGAACAATTATAGCATTATACAACAATTTAAAATCGTAATGTGTGCTTGTTCAGGTAAATCAAAAGTTTATGTCACATGTCAGTCAAAAAGAAAACACAGTCAGGAAGAGTGAAAACATGCTGCACTTTGCTGTCTGTTTATAAAGCAGTAGCTGGGGAATGACTTTCATTATATCAGGATAAAATGCAAAACGCACTATAAGGCTAGCAGTTTATGATGATCGCACAGGAAAAACTCAGACTAACTTGTTTGTTTTGCTCCACGTTATGTTTCAGCAGGATCATCTGATGGGGCTCCTGGACGGCAGAGATGACTTGGACAAGGAGGACGGGAAGCACGAGCCAGAAGCCATTTATGAGACCAACTGTCGCTGGGAGAGCTGCAACAAGGAGTTTGACACGCAAGACCAGCTAGTTCATGTAAATCAAACAAAAAAATCCTTTTATTTGATTCATTCCATTCAAAGACACAACCATATAAGCAGTAATCATTTACAAATGACGGATTGTGCGTCAGAGGTTTCAGTGAGAAAAAGATATAATACACTGACCAAAGTGAGGAAAAAATAATTGAATCAAAACACGGACTGAGTGACTATAGAAATAAAAATGTTAGCTGCAGGACACTGGCCATGAGTCTCACTTTCACTAAAATGCTTTCTCTTATTTATCCGTCTGTTCAGCACATCAACAACGAGCACATCCACGGAGAGAAAAAGGAGTTTGTGTGTCACTGGCAGGAGTGCTCCCGAGAACAGAGACCCTTCAAAGCCCAGTACATGCTGGTGGTTCACATGCGGCGACACACAGGAGAGAAGCCACACAAGTGCACTGTGAGTTTATTTGTTACATGTTTGAACTGATTTGAAACAGGGACGTGACTCGGAACACGTGTAGCTGATTTGCAGATCCAGTTCAGAGATCAGTAAATTTCTGCTTTATCTGTTGTTTGCACTCATCTAAAGCTGCTAAATGTGTGACTGTCCGTTTTATGGACGTTAGCAGGACGTGCAAGGACAGTTTTAGCAACTAATCAGTGTCTAGACTTAAAGAATATCCTCTTTAGTTTCATCATCACGTGGCACAGTCCGATTACCTTTATGAGGAGATTTTTTTTGTACTGATACCATAATATCACAACAATAAAACCTTTCTGTCTCTGTCTATTTTAGCTCTAAAGACAGTTATTGTTCAAGTCATGTGTGATGAAACTCAAATAACAGTGTAGGGATATCATGTAT